AAGCAGAGTGTAGTCCAGGTATAACTCAAATCGGAAGTGGAAAAAGCCATACAACAGGAAAAAACAAACAAGACTCCCGGACCAGACGAAATACCCGCGGAACTAATAAATCTTCTCGACAACGACAGTATATCTGTCTTGACAGCATTCTTTAACCAGGTTTACCAAAGTGGAAAATTACCTGGCGACTGGCAGAGATCGATATTTATTTATTGCTTTACCAAGAATACCAAAGCGAATAAATGTGATGACTTCAGGCCTATTAGTCTGATGAGCCACATGTTAAAAATACTTTTAAAAATAATCCTCAACCGAATATATGCTAAATATGAACAGAACATCGGAAAAGAGCAGTTTGGATTTCGTAGCGGACTGGACACACGTGAAGTTGTAGTGTTGAAAAAGTGGTGCGAATTTCGCAAAGAACATCTATGTGTGCTTCATCGACTTTGCGAAAAAGCATTTGATAGAGTCAGATATACAGAGCTTTTTGGGCATCTGGAATCGTATGACGTAGACAACTATGACATGCGCCTTTTAGTAAACTTATACTACGATAAAACTGCTGCTGTCAGGGTCGATGAAGGAACTACAAACTCTGCTACAAATGACATCCCAATAAAACGAGGAGTAAGACAGGGGTTTGTTTTGTCACCGTTATTATCCAACTTGTATTCGAAGAAAATTTTTAGCGATGCTTTATCCGGCAGAATAGAAGGCGTTAAAATTGGAGGCGAGATCATAAATATAACGTAAGGTACGCAGACGACACCACCATTGTCGCAGAAAGCATGGAAGACTTGCAAACGTTGCTAGATAGGGTATATGAAGCTAGTTGCAAATGGGGTATTAATATAAATATCAAGAAGACGAAATGGATGTTTGTGGGTAAAATACAAATTAATCCAATCCCGATAAAAATCAGCGGACACAATATTGAACAAGTACCACATTTTAGATATTTAGGAAGCTGGCTAAATAGTGAAAATACATGTGACGAAGAAGTAAAAGCAAGAATTGGGCACGTAGAACATTCAAAAAATGGAATACCACGCTTACTAATAGAAACCTGTCACTGCATACCCGATTGCGGACACTACGTTGTTACATAAGGTCCACTCTTCTTTACGGATGCAAGACATACACGCTAAAAGTCGAGAATATAAATAAAATAGAAGCCTTTGAAATGTGGTGCTAGCGCAGAATCCTTAAGATTTCTTGGACCGAACATACAAGCAACGAGGCAGTTCTTGGACAGCTGAACAAAGATCGGGAACTGTTAACCACCATCAAGGCAAGAAAAGTTAGCTACTTCGGACACATAATGCGTGGCACCAAATATTATATTCCTCGTTTGATTATTCAAGGAAAAGTCGAAGGTATAAAATGGGTAGGTCGAAAGAAATTGTCATGGCTCAGAAATATAGGGAACTGGACCGCTCTGGGGGTGGAGAGGCTGTTTCATGCAGCAGAAGATAGAGAACTCTTCCACGAAATAGTCATGCATGAAGATCGCCAGCGCCTGAAGACAGGCACGGCACCGCAAGAAGAAACCGGTTACCTGCGCATAGAAGTTCAGTCTCGTGAAATTTAAACTGCGCACGATAATTTTTCAATCAATAAGGAATCGAGGACCACATTTTCGATATATCAGTACTAAATAACTTTATATCTATTCATGAGTTTAATATACAGAAGAATTGTGTCATATTTCGACATGTTTTAGGCTAGAAACATGTTTTACTATAAATTAATCTGATTTACAGTTGAGGGTTGGAACCTTTGGTGTTACACAGCAAAATAAAAACACTAAATCACCACAATACACCAAAACACTTTTACTTTTACACTGGACGCGCGTTTCGCTAACCATGTTAGCATCATCAGCAGATGATTATAAACTGTAACTAACTATAGTTTATAATCATCTGCTGATGATGCTAACATGGTTAGCGAAACGCGCGTCCAGTGTAAAAGTAAAAGTGTTTTGGTGTATTGTGGTGATTTAGTGTTTTTATTTTTTTTATTTTTAATCTGATTTCCTCACATTTTCACACTATTTTTGCCCGAAAAAAATTACATGATATTTGCCAAAAAACCTCTCTCCCCTACGTGATATTTAGTGATCTTCGACGCCCCCCTGCTATAGCATGAAACCTAATAGAAACATGTACCCTTATTTCCCCCTGAACCATCCACCACTGTTTTTCTTTTATTTAATTAGACTAAACCATATTCTTCTTCCTCCGGTCATGAACTTTGAAAGTAAACAAGCAACATTTAGCAGAAAAATGTTCAGGCCACCGTAACCAGACTGCAGAACCGGGTAAATCCAAAGCTTTTGTGTAATTTTTCGCACAAACTCCAAACAGTATTTATTTTTAGTCGAATCGCGGTTGTACTCTGTCTTGATCCAACAATCTCATCGACCCGGCATCGCCAATGTTTGTGTTCTTATTTCCAGATATAAAAGAAGATTACTTAGTGTATATTTCTTCTTTGTGATAGTGCGACAGTATGTGGAATAGTGTTAGAGATACTCTTCAGAAACAAGCTTCTGTTGAAGCGGATCCTGAAAGGTTAGATTTTTTTTTAAATGGGACAAGGGTATTTTTTTTCTATTTTGACCTAAATATATCAACCGCACCCCAATCAATAGGTTTATTTTTTTATAAAATTCTAATAAATATTTACATTTTCTTACTCTTTTTGTTTTTTTTCTATACAAATATTTATGAAAGTTTTCTATTTTCCTCACCCCTATTAAAAAAAAAAGCTGCAAAAGATAATCTGATTTTTAGTTAAATAAAATATAATAAAAAAAGTTTTTTGAGATAGGAGGAGGATAACGCAATATAATTTAATAGAAAAAGCAATAACAATAATTTTTAATTTAATATAATCTGTGGGCAGTTCAGAGTTCGCAAATTCGGTCTATTTAAGTAATAATTCTAATAATAATACATAATATATCTATATTATCTTTCTAAAATTTAAAAGTGTTTATTATTTCAAACTTATGCGACACATGACTTAAAGAAACACATTAACAATTTACATGTAACAAAAATTAATCAAAATGTTTTTTACGACTTTTTGAAGTGAGTATTTTCTAAATAAGTTTAGTTATATTATATGGTTACAGAAAATAGGTACATATGGTTATAATTGAGGCTACTGACAAACCTGTCAACGTAAATTACATTAGACAATTTGAATTTTTATATATTTTTTGTAACTCTGAAAATATTATATATTAGGTACTTATTTTCTGTAATATATAAAAAACAAAATTATAATAATTGAGAGTTAGAAATATGTTTTATTTTGAATATATTCCATATTCCAAAAAAACATTTATTTCTCATTATTTAAAGCTTTCTTGATTATTATTATTCTTTAATGACATGCTAGTATTTAAGAGGGTGATTTTTGGATCTGTTCTAAGAAAAAAAACATATGGCAATAAAAAATTATATTTTGAAGTTCTAGTGGATCAATTTTGATGATTTTTTATGTAATTTGTAGCTACATTATTTGACTCTTTAGTACCTCTTTCAGAATTAAAAATGAAAGTTGCCATCAGTAAATTATACGGGGAAAAACAAAATGTTGATCTTTTGGTGAAAGTTTGAAACATCCTGTGGAATAGGTTAACAAAGAAACAAATTTAAAAATCATTTTATCATCTAGATATATCTTTTCTCGATAGTTGTTTTTTTATTCATCTTAATAGCTCTATTTTTTTGAAGAAGGAAATCTTAGTGATATTTTTTCGTATTTTTTATATTAAAACCATGCCTTTACTTTTGGTATTGCCTATTAGGCTATTAGTCAACAGACCTATAAATCGTGTTCATGATTTATGTAATATTACTGTCTTTGAAAAATCATATTATTATTGTTTGTTGGGCAGTTACTTTAGCAGATATGGTTTATGGTTTTAAGTCCAAAAGTTGATCTCTGCCATGATCAATTAAAGCAACAATAGCCAATACTTATTGGCTATTCCACAGGGTGTTTCAAACTTTCACCTAAATATCAACATTTTGTTTTACCTCGTATAATTAACAGATGGAAACTTTAATGTTTAATTTAGAAAGACATACTAAAAACTCAAATAATTTAGCTACAAATTGCTCAAAAAATCATCAAAATCGGTCCACTAAATTCACTAAAAGAAAATATAATAATATTAAATTTTAAAATACATCAAACTCAGAATAACTAAAATCAAACTTTTCAAGTGCCCGTTTTTCATGCCGGTACGGTGAGTATGTCCAAAATATCTTAACTTTTGAGATACAGGGTGGTAATTTTTTTATAATAACTCGAATGTTATTTTAGATGTCTTTACAGTGGCGGATACAGAGGGAACCCATGGGAAATGCCCCCCCCCCTAAAATCTATAAATTAGGTTAAATATTAGGCTTTTTGGGTTAAAAATGGTACCCTAAAAAGCATATTTTACATTACATTTTATTTGGCCCCCCCCCCTAAAATAAATTCCTGTATCCGCCCCTGTGTCTTTATGAACTTTGATACACACGTCTTCTATGCATCAAAATACCTTTTTTAATGTACAAATAATTTTATTTATTTCAACAAGTAGCTTATGCCGTGAAAATAGGTGTTGATCACCTGTGTGGAAATCGTTTCTTCATCGGCTGAAGGATACAGCAAAACATTTTTTTGGGCATCCAAAAATTCATTTTTATGCATCATATACGATATTATTATGATCATATATTGATATTACGTGTATCAATAATGCATAAAGACATTTAATAATAGTTTTTTACAAAATTTTACCACCCTGTATCTCAAAAGTTATGACGTTTCGAACATACATCCATATAACATAACAGTATATTATTCAACGAGCATATAATGGTGGCTGTTATTCACGCGGATGAAGTTTATGCAATCATCCAAGTGAATAACAGCCATTATATGCGAGTAGAATACTATACTTTTTCCAGGACTATCAAAAAAATTTAGATAATATTAATAAAAGTTTTTATTTTTAATGTCAAAAAAAAAATATTGAACGAGTAAGTAACATGGAAACAAAACATCGAAATTTCCTTTAACTAGGTAGCTAACTAATTTAGCTTTAACTAATTAAAACAAATTATTTATTTACATTAATGGTAATGTTTGACAGCTCTTATTTGAAGTTTGGATCGAGATATCCGTGGAAGCCATTATTCACAAGTGAATAATGAATATTATTATTATTTCATAAACTCATGTATAATAATCAAATTATAGACGAATCGTGGATAAAGTTTTTTTTAAATAGGCCCAAGAATCGCCCCTAAAATTAGCATGTCATTAAGGAACACCCTTTATATTAAAAGAAATGTGTCATTTTCTTTAAATAAAATGATTGAATCAAAATATGATACTACCTAGACAAAAAATAGATAGATAAAAAATAAAATTATAAATCTATTAATAATGAACATAATTGTTGTGACTTATTATTAATCAAAGGACAAATAAATTTAACTTGAAGTGATAATTGCTACATTTTTATTCTTTATACAAACAAAAATAATCTTAAAATGTAATATAAAATCAAAATATTTGTTATATGAGTTAATAAAGTTAAACGTCACATGTAAATTTTAAATTACCAAAGAACATACCTGCATAGTTTTAGTTACAACCAAACCAAACAATTTGTAGTCAATTTGTAGACTCGTGTAGTCAAAATTTTATTTAACAATTTACAAACATCAAATATGATATTTAAATTTATCTGTTAACATCCATTATAGGACCATACCAAATTAGTAGGTGTGTCAAAATTTGTTGTATTCCATTAAGGCAGAAAACAAATTACCTCATCTTAGATTGTTACCCAGTCCTCCACTAAAAATGTTCACAGCCTCATAATAATAATTGTAAAAATACTCAGCCTGAATTAATTTATTTTGTTTATGCGTTCTTTGAAATTAAAAATAAGTTTTAATTAGAACTAGGTACTTATAAATTCATCACAAATAATATCTATTAACTAGTCTAGGTGCCACATTCAACAGAATTGGTTCATTTAAATTGTTTTTTTACCTCTCTGTTGAATCTTGTATACTGCGGTCGGTTGTTCTTCTCTGCTGTAGTGGTACCAGAGACCAGAGGTGGTACCTAACTATGGTACCCACGTCTAAATCCAACAAGCAAGGCCAGAGGAAGGCACAGAATGATTGGTTGAAAAGCGTTTATTTTATATAATTTCTACTGAAGTCGAATGAGTCAGAAAATTAACACATTTCTCAGACTGAATCTCCTTTGAAACAAGAATAAGCCAAGTGCATAGTGCATCATATACTGTTTCGCGTGTTAACTCATTTTTCTTAAATTTTTGTGAAGATGGGTGATATGGAAAGTGAAGAAATAATGTGGAAACAAATTTACACTAGATTAAATTCACAAAAATCGGTGAATAAAAGTGATCAAACCCAACATGATATCACGTAAGTATTATGCCCTTTTTGAGAATTCCTTTTAGTTTCTATAATTCGAAAATTGTAGTTAAATATTTGAAAATATAAGTGAAATTGGAGCACAAAAATATATCACCGTTATTTTTACCGGCTTAGCGTGAGATCATCAACAAATTACAATATAATATAATATGATAAATCTTATTTTTACGTGTCAAGGTCGAAATAATGATTTATACTCTTTAGAACTCTCTCTAATTGTCCCTGTATTTTTATTAAATTTAATTTAAATTTGCTACTAAATAATTCATTTTTCTATTATGCAACCAGATATATTCCCCGGACAAGTATGTCTGTTCATATCTCACTTTACTATCAGCTGACAGCTTATCTAAGACACACGTGACTTTGTTATTGTTCTTTGACATTTCTATTTTTTATCGTTCAATTTAAAAGTTAAATCAACAATATTAACAGCTTAAATAATGAATAAATTTCAGATTGTTAGGGGCCAATTCTCGTTTATTTATATTTAAATTAAAATGATAAAGACAGCGTTCAAGTTGAATTAGTTAATGCTCTTGCGCGAAGTGAACAATCAGTAAATTTTACTCGATATTTTAGTTATTTTTTAATGTTTATTTTAAACTGAAATTGTACCTTTTTATTGTGATACTAATATTAAAATGATGCAATTCAAAACGTTCTTGTCTAAATCGCCCAGCATGCAGACGATAAGATTAATTCAAACAGGTATTAAAAGTGCCCCAGGGCAGTATGAAAAGGCTTATATCAATGGACAATGGTCTTCAGCAATTAGTGGGGAAACCTTTGATGTATTTAACCCGGCAAATGGACAAGTTGTTGGAAAGGTACCAGATATGAATACTGACGATACACTTGTTGCTATAAACTCTGCATTCAAAGCTTTCCAATCATGGAAAAATACCACCGCCAAAGAGCGTTCTCAAATTTTACGACGCTGGTATAATTTACTGGTAGAAAACCAGAATAAAATTGCTGAAATCATGACAGCCGAATCGGGAAAACCCCTTATTGAATCAAACGGTGAAGTCACCTATGGAAATTCATTTGTAGAATGGTTTTCTGAATTAGCTCGTCAAATTCGAGGAGATATCATTCCAAGTTCATTTCCCTCTAAAAAAATACTGGTCCACCATCAACCAATTGGAGTGGTCGGTCTTATTACCCCTTGGAATTTTCCCCATGCAATGATAGCCCGTAAAGCTGCTGCCGCTTTATCTGTTGGATGCACTGTGGTGATCAAACCTGCCGAAGACACACCTTTAACTGGAATTGAATTAGTCAAATACGCAGAAGAAGCAGGCTTCCCACCTGGCGTTGTTAATATTGTAACAAGCAGCAGAGAAAATGCGCCAGATGTCGGAAGATTGTTATGTGAAAACCATTTAGTGGCAGGAATTTCATTTACTGGCTCGACTACTGTAGGTAGAATCCTATACAAACAGTGTGCTTACGGAATTAAAAGACTGGGTCTGGAATTAGGTGGGAATGCACCATTTATTGTTTTCAAATCTGCCAAACTTGATACCGCTGTGAGTTCAGCTTTAGTATCAAAGTTTAGGAATTGTGGTCAGACATGTGTGGCAGCAAATAGATTCTTAATTCAAGAGGATGTATTTGATGATTTTGTTGAGAAATTAGTTGAGAGAGTTAAATTGTTAAAAATGGGAAATGGAAGTGATACTGGAGTTCAACTGGGACCACTTATAAATCAACCACAGCTTGACAAAGTAACTAATTTTGTTAACGATGCTGTAAGCAAGGGAGCTAAAATTATTACAGGTTAGTAGTAGAATTATCAAACTTATAATAAAATTAATAAAATAATATTTACCTTTGCAGGAGGCAGACCAGCTACACATTTGGGAAACCTGTTCTATGAGCCTACAATTCTCACAGGTATCACACCTGACATGATTGTTTACAATGAAGAAATCTTTGGCCCTGTCATCTGTTTAACAAAATTCAAAACCGAAGAGGAAGCTCTACAAATATCAAACTGCTGCGATGTTGGACTTGCAGGATATTTCTTCTCTGAAGATATCTCACAAATCTTTAGAGTGAGCAAAAATATGGAAGTGGGGATGGTCGGTGTGAACGAAGGTCTGATTTCTTGCTCTGAAGCACCCTTTGGAGGGGTGAAGCAATCAGGGTTGGGTAGGGAAGGGTCACATTTAGGGGTTGAAGATTATACTTATGTTAAGTATACTTGCATTGGTAATTTATCCTAAATATTTAGGTATTCTATCTATATGAATTGGATTTTGATTCAATTTTTTTTATTTTTAAATCCATTGTATCTAATATAATGGAAACTATTTGTATTTTTGATGTTATGAATATAATCTAAGTAAACATAAGCTATATTGAATTAAATTTAAAATTAAGGAAATATTTGTCTTCCATCAAGTCTTCCAAAAAATAATAAAATTTTATGGGCAATACGTATGTTATACCAGTTAACTTTTAGCAATAAGTATATAACAATATTTCTGAATAAAAATTTATGTAAATGACTAGTCTAATAAAAATTAAGTTCAAATAAATGTTAAATGTACATATCATTAATTTGTAGTTTTATTTATGAAATTATCTATATTAAAGATAAAAAATGTTTTAACTGAATTGTTTTCTCCTAAAAATAATATATTTAATATTTCTTTTTGTTATTAATCAGTTATTTATTGAAATACAAAAAATCAGTGGATCACAGTTAATACAACCTTGACAAATATTATTTTAATAATAGTTACAAATTTAAATACTGTTATTACTTGGATATTTTTTAAGTTAATCCGATTTATTTCATATTTCTGTCAGTATTAAAATTTAAAAATAAGAGATCAGTTTATTATGATTATAACAATATCAGCGATATTATTTTTTCGAATACTCTATTTTTTAATAGAAGTTATTCTTCCAAAAAATCCAACTGGAGAGTAAGTGATATATGGAAAAAAACATTTGGTAAAAAATATACATTTCTTTGTAATTTATTTCAGAATACAGCAAGTTGATGGCGGTTTCTTCGAAAAATTCGGTTCCTTATTTCGGGAACATGCGGAAATGGCAAAAACGAAAGAACAGGAAGAGAAGAGGGAAGTAGCAGAGAAAGCAGCAGAAATAACTCCCAAAGTAAGCAATATTTTATATCTTTCTAAAGTAAATTCTCTCTATTAATATAAAAAATGTTAAAGCCACTTGAAAATTTTATAAACCAAAAGTCACAGGCCGCCTATGTAAACCTGATTTATTAAACGTGTATGTTCTCCTTCGGTTCATTTTGGTTAAGTTTGTAGACAAAGTTCGGTCAATTATTAGCTTGAAACAAAATGTCTAAATTAAATAAACAGTTTTTATTTCAATTATTTTAATTGTCACTTGTATTTTTTTAGGAGGGAGATGAAGAGGACAATGACGAAACTACACTTCCTGTGATTGCTGAAAGCGAAGCTGAAGACAGTGCAGCTTCAGCTTCAGATTCCGACAGCGAAACAGAAAAGGACAAGGGTGATCTAATAGCTGCGGCGTTTAACGTAAGTAACCTCTGGAATATGTTTAGTCCTATATTTCTGTTCCATTGTTTTATCTGCATTTTATGTACGGCGATGATATACCGGGTGCGTCTCAAAAGTGGGTAACCACTATAACTTTTTTATTTTTTCAGATAAAAAATTGAGATTTGGTATGTTAATATATGACATAAATTAGGATTGATTGACGTATTCAATTGTTTTCTGTCACTTCCTGTTTCACCGGAAATGACTACAACTTTTGATTTTTAAATGGTACTCTCGGTTTTTTGTTGCTTTATTCGATAGAAAATGATATCACATGTCAACTTTGACATTTTCGCATATGGTTTATTTGAAATTATAACATGCGGTTCATAACGATAATTTTACTCGAAATAACAAGTGTGTGGTATCAAATTATTCGTAAAAAAAGCTTTTTCTAAATATGCTAATCAGCCACCCTCGTTCCATTTGAAAAAATTGAGATGTGATTAAAAATACGATTTGGGCATCTTTTAACCAGCCAGGACAAGACATGAATAACATTAGACTATCAAATATATTTTTCCAAGGTTCCTTGATTAAAAATTAGTGTTTTTAACACACCCATGGCACTCTAGATTGAAATTTAAAATTCAATTTTGTTTTAAACAAAAATGTCAAAAGTTGACATATGATATGTCATTCTATTCAGAATGTCATTTTCTATTGAATTTATTTATTTAATTTTTTTTTATTGGGGTGCCGTTTAAAAATAAAAAGTTGTAGTCATTTCCGGCGAAACAGGAAGTGACAGAAAACAAATGAATATGTCAATCAATCCTAATTTATATCATTTACTAACATACCAAATCTCGTTTTTTTATCTGAAAAAATAAAAAAAGTTATAGGGGTGAGCCACTTTTGAGACGCACACGGTATATATAGTTAGTAATTTTAAAAGAAAAGTTCATTACATTACTCATTCATGCTCTAGTCTGTCCAACAGTCACTATCCTCTGTTGTATCTGTCATTTTAATTCACCATGCAAATTGTGTTTTTTGTCATTTTTTGTATCTAGATTTTTTTTCTTTGTGTTTTGTACTTCCTGAGTTTGAGAGTTTAAGAAAATACCTCACACATGTCTTCGATCAGAACAGCGTTGTATATTAATTTTGCTTAATTTATTTACACTATAAATCACATAAAATTTTGCCAGTTATGCCGTTAAACTTTAGTGGGATTATTCATCCTCTTCGGTGTTTATTAAACGTCTGTCAGTACAGGAGAGGAAAAGAGATTTTTTGTAAGCAATCTGGCTCGTAAAAGTGTAAAATCAACGCATTAAACTTCAATTTTAGTGCTAATATACATTAGACTGAGTTCAATTTAGTTTTACTACGATAATTAGCTGACGTAGTGTACAGGATCTTTGATGAAGTTATAGTTAATTCAGAGATTCATTTTGCAGTGGAGTAAAACGTTTATAAACTTTTTAACAGTTATTTATAAAACTGAAAATTTCATTACTTCTACGATGAAGTTCATTACTTCAAAATCTGGATACATTTAGGTTTTGAAGCTGAAAAACAAGTTCTTCTATACCCCCTTATAGTCTGTCCAACAAGAGATAGGAATACAAAAGCGATAGTGATAATTGTCTGTCATTTTTATTCAAAAGTAAATTGTATTTTCTGTCTTTTCTACGTCGTCTGTCGAAAACTTCCCAGGCCCGTTAGACAGACTTTACAGTAACACCCTTTTCGTGGAATAGGAATCATAAGATCAACTCTATTATTTACTTTTGTGTTTGGCCTGATATAATAAATGCTTAAATTATGTGACCCAGATATTTATGTTTGTGTCTGTTAAGTTGCTCAATAGGTAACGTGTGAACTTAATGTTATTATAATGTCAGTGAGATCTGAATTCATATTTTTTCTATTTATTTTTTGTTTTTATTGACGTTTCTAACTAATAAAAAGAGTCTCCTTACCACTTGAGTGGTGTAATGTTTACTGCCCATTTTTCAAAATAATTGCGAATGAAGGAAATAACTATATGTGAAATGGGCCCTTATAAAGGAATTGTTTAAGACCTTTTACAAAAAATGTAGAATGTACGCGAGGGGCTTAATCACAGCCACCTTACAGATCTATTGTTTCCCCCTTTATTGAGTTTAAACTCATCATACAGTCTCAGACTCGGTCTCAGAGCTTTGACAAAAGTCACTTTCTGATACGGTTTTACAGATGTTAGTTCTCCAACTTTTCGCTCAAGTCATGATTACTAAATCCCGCTTAAGATGGGCTGGCCACGTATGCAGGAGGCAAGAAAACGCCTACCGAAATCTCTTCTTTAAGGTGAGCTTGTAGAGGGTAAGAGGAAATCGGGTGGACAACTCAAAAGATACAAGGATATTTTCCATGCAAAGAAAAAGGAGATAAGCATGAAGAAACAGTAGGAGGAGGAGGAGGAAACAATGGAGAACAATAATTGTAAACTCAGTAAACAACGGCAACCAAGAAGTAAAAAGGCAACAAAGTAATGAGATTTTTGAATGTCCGGAGTGCGGAAGAGAGATAACATCACGTATCGGGCTTTTCAGTCACAGAAAAGCTCATGAAAAAAACGCCTTGCGTAACCATCTTCTAATGCCTGTCAAATACTCGTTAGCGAGTAATGGCAGTATGTATTTATCATGTATGTATGTATTCGATCGTCATTTCCAAGCCAACTGGACATCGTTGTTTATCGATATACGGTACAATACCTGTACAAAATGGGGTTTAGGCTTGACTCGTCCTGCGATCAATACTTTTCCGTCAGTTTTTTTCTATTCTTTCGTCTTCCTAGCCCCAATTTCTCACATTATTTCCCTCTAGCTTTAAAACCCGTCTTCAATAGGCTCTATCGGCCTTCGTCTGTCCATCGTCGCCTCTATGGACTTCGCTTATTTTGCTAGCCCCACGTTTTCTCTGGCCATAACGTAACTCAATACGAGAATAGATTTTTTGGCAAACAGTTCTGACGCTCTCTCACCTATATCGCTAGACTGTTCGCGGTCTTGGCCGAATGAAACATCGCGAATCGGCGGATCGGTGATCGAATTTTTGCAATAAATCGATGAACGGGGGTGTTTTTTGCATTTTTTTAACCGTGACAAGGGTGAAAGGGTTTAGCGTAATTATGTTTTGAACGTGCGGTACAAAATGTGTTCGTAATATTGGTAGGAATTGAAAGTTACCTCAGAGTACGCGTAAGATGTTAGTGTCTATATTTTTTTGGCTCAAAAAATACAGGGAATGACAAATAGCGGCTGATTTCACTGATATTTGTTGACATTAAATAATATATATTTTTTCAGGGTAAATTTTGATTCTTCCGGTAAATTGGGGTACTTTATTAAACAAAAATATGTTTTTGTTCGTGAAGCATATTTATTCAAAAAGTAATGCCCCGTCTATATACAGGGTGAGTCTTAAATAAGTGCAAATATTTTTAGGGCTGGTAGATCTCGATAAAAGAAACATATTTTCTCTTTACTATTTTTGAAATAAGTCCAAAATAACCGAGTTATTTGAATTGAAAAATTTTTGCTTAAATTTTGAGAACCACTGGATCTTTTCTGGGTTTTCCTTCTTGTAAATTTAATCTACTATCTATGTTGCCATATTATCAAGAAATTATGAATTTTAATTAAAAACATTTTCAAAATTTTTTTCCAGAAATTCCAATTTTCAAAACTTTTTTTCGCAAAAAAAACTCATAATCGGGTTTCTGGGGTCAAAATATACTACCCCTAAAAATATTTGCACTTATTTAAGACTCACCCTATATAAGGTTTTATTTGACTTTTTGCCTGAGAGTTGCCTGATGGACTTAACAATAATTAGACCTAACGTTTTACCTGTCAGGTAAGAAGACTATATAAAGACTAGCATATACACTGGAAGATTTAACTGTGGTTTTATCAATTATAACATTCTGTTTAGTGAAGTTGAAAAGAAATAACCTGGAAGTTTATTACAAAATTTTATTTATTGTTTTAACTTAAAAGTTAAATTGACGTTTGGTAATAATCATCAATTTACCTGATTAAACTTGTTTTAAAAAATTCTATATACTTTAGAAGAATACCGATTTTTTAAAAACATTTAAAAAAAATTAAAATCAATTTTGGCAGCACAAAAATAGAGACATTAGATATTTTTTGGACATTCTAAATTACATTTTAAAAAGGAACATACTCCTACCTGTTATATTCTAATAAAAATCATTTTTATTAGAGTTTTTTTTTTAAAAAGTATTAAAATATATTACCAACATATTTTGTCCGTATTGTTATCTGTGATCACCCTATAGACTATTAAAATTCAAAAATATAGTGCTAAAAGTTCCGATTTTCGGAGTGATCTCAAGTAAAACTAAAAAATACCACTAGCTATACAGGGTGAATCAAAATGATGCGTGCCAGTGTGTCAGAAATGGCCTTGAACGGCATCGGACCGTCCAAGTTTAATAGTATGGTCAGAAAACGATCTTTGCCTAGAAATAACTTTAGGGGAATAAAAAAGGAAGAACTACAACGACAAACCAGCATGTATTTAGCGTCGATGACGGTAAGTGTCAATACAGAGGGAAGTACTTGGAGCTTGAGTGTTTTGAACTGTGAAAACAATGTATTAAGTGAATTCTCTTCAGCTCTTAGTCAAAAAACAACTTTTACACAGTTTAACTACGATTTTTTTAACTCTGAGAGACAATCTCAACTAATCAATTGCACCAAAACAAATTCAGTAAGAAAAGAGAACCTGAAGAAATAGTATCATAATATCTGTTCATACTGTCTTTGCATTTAACTTATATATTATACTCTATTTTTTACCCTCATAATTGTTTAATTGCTTATAATTTGTTACAAGTGTAATGATTAATTGACTGTTTTACCGGAAATTACTACAATTTTTGATTTTTAAATGACACCCACGGTATTTTTTTTTTACTTCATTCGGTAGAAAATGACACTCTGAATAGAATA